GCCTGGTCATCTGAGTGCAGCTGCGCCATGTACGCCAGCGTGTTGTCCAGGCTCAGGGGTGCCAAGCGGTTTCCAATCACCTCATGCCGCCAAGCCCGATAATCACACGGGTACTCGTTGGCAAATGCATCCGGATTCGCTCGAACGGCGTTGGTGCACTCCAACACTGCGTGGGTGCTGCCGTCTGTCTCCGAGCAGGCCACATACTGCTTCAAATCCCTCCTCGGTTGGTTTGCCTCCCGTTTGCCTAGGATTGAATCCCCCAGGAGAGCACGGGAGGTCTGCCTGTGGAGCGTCACCGCGGTGCCAATTGCCTGATCGCAGTCTTTGCAGGTGTCCGATTGGCGGCGACTGTGCTTCTTGGATGGTTTCCCAGCGGCACATTCAGCGGGTCCAGCCGCCAGGAGCAGTACAAGCGCAGCGGCGACGGCAAGCCTCTGCTGCATTGGCTTCGACGACGTCATGATTGTTCGAGAAGAGGTCCTAGCTCCCACCAAAGGCTTTCCCTTGAATATCCCAGATGCGCTTATTCGGAGCTCATTCAATGTCTTCCACCTGGCTTGTAAGAAACAACCAACCACCAATTCATGGATAAGTCTGCTCAACATCCGTCCCACAAGTTCGTAAATGCGTAGATCTCTTGCTTCCCCTTTGCGTTGCCCTCGGGGACATCTATGTCATCGTATGCAGTGAAAATTTGCCTCAAGAAGTCCTTGCTCACCAGGGAAATACATAGCGACGTGCACAGTACTGTGCAACAATTTTCCCTCTCCGTCAGAAAACAGTCTTCGGTGAACCCTATCGAAAGGCAACCAGTTGTGCTAGGCGACGCCGATGCTCAGAATTGGCTCAACAACACTTTTGCCACTTGCGTCTCAGGAAAACACAAAGAATCGTAAATTTTCCCAACGATGGTGATCAACGCTGTTCGATTGGGAGCATGTTGTTGGGACTTTGGTGCTGTGTTCAATCCTTTTCAATTCCAACGAAAATTTCAGTTGTTGGATAGGAGAGACCCCAGCGGACACCAATCGCCAGGATTCAATATTTCTTCGCTGTGCCACCAGAACTGCGACCCGTTGTGTGGATGGCGTACAGGTCGAACGCTGACTCCTTGGCCATTGCTACCTGGCAAGAACTGGCAACACAGCGGCGGTGGCCGCAGGTCCCCCCCACCCCCCACCCACACACCCACACACAGACGCCCCCGCCCCCCGGGGTCGAAAGCAAGTTGCCATTTCTACGGTTGGTCGGAGAAGGAAAGCTGACGCCTGCACTGATCCCTGGCCATGTCACACACAGGTGCCCTGTCCCATGGGTCCGAGGTCGGCAGCAAGCCGGACGCCGGTACGCTATTCTCAGCCGTGCGCCGGCTCTGCGGCGCGGCGACAGACACTGGCGGCCATGCACCCACCCACGCGCGCCAGAAACGAACGTGCTCAATCCCGCAGACTCCGGTCCGTCCCAAAGTGCCGCCAAGGACAGTCGGGGCCCAGCATCCGTTCACGAGTCACCAACCGCCGCTGCGCAGTGAAATTAACGCTGCGGACGTTGTCATGAAGCAGCCCCCCAACTAACTCGACAGCGGCGCACGATGCCGCCCAACGGCCTTGTGTCCTCGTGTATCGACCACGTCGCCGTGCGGAAACGGGAAGTCAAATTCGATATTGCCAAAGTCGAGGGGCAGCTCCGGCGGCTAGGCTCGCCAGCGCTGGCCGGGCGCTGAAGAGCCTGTCCCACTTTGGACGGTCCAAAAAGCAGCGCCAGTACTTTAAGGCCCCTTGAAGGCAAAAGGGCGCGAGTCAACGTCGATCCGCGCCAATCCATCGCGCTGAGGCGCGGAGCGGGGCGAGAAGTTTCGCGCCCTTGCCAGTGGCCCCAGCGCCGGCGGATGGCTCTTCAGGGTTGGGCTTTCGGGACTTTTGGGGTGGTCGAGGTGGCAACATCGTGCAGTCTTGGCATTGGCAAGCTGCCCTCTGTCGGTGCACGGACGGGGGCTTTCAACACGACCGGGCATCGGGTGCCCTGGTGAAGGAGGCCGCCACATTCGAGCCAGGCCCTTCCCGGGCCGAGGAGGCTCCAGGACCGACAACAAGCACCGGCAACGGGGGCAGCAACCGGGCGCGATGCGCGCTGGGACGTCAGTACACATCGGCGCACGAACGCCCAGCATATACATGCATAGTCGCGCTGGCGTGCAGCTGTGATGGGGCCGGAGCTTTTGCGCACCTGCCCCGATCCGCGCCGTCCCTGCCGGCCCTGCCTCCCGTCCTGGCTTCCCTCGGGGACTCCGGCCCCCGCACACTGCGGTGCCGGCCCCGTCCGAGTGGCCATTATAATTGCATGGCGTGATGGAGAGCCACGGGAGCGGGAAACGTCGGCGGGGGCGGAGCCAGGGTACTGGCCTAATGCACATCAAGAGGGACATCCCGGCGAAGATCCCGTAGGGCCTTAATGCACAACGGTGGTCTGCTGGTGCACGTGCGTGTACCAGCTTTAATTTGCTTTTGGCAAGGTACTTTGCCAAGGCACACCGGTGTGCTTTCGTTGGAGTCCACTGGAAGCCAGTGCGGCAGCCTAATCTCCCCTTTATCCGCGTGCGGTGGTGCGTTTGATGCAATCAAATGGATTGTATTCTTGCTGTTTGGCTGCCTCCGATGAAACCTGTATTTCAGGATTCAAGGGAGCGCTCGTGCTCCTGGGATCGCCCACGGCATTGATTCTGGACAGCTTGCAGGACGGAGATGAACAGGGAAACTGAAGACTGTCACTGTACAAGGACGAAAGGCTCATGCATCTTTGGGGCTAAGCATACTAGATTCCTTCCATCAGTCCTTCACGGACTGATTCAATATTCAAGCTGAATGTTCAATTCTGCCTTACCGGTCTCCTCCCCACCCACCCACCCAACCCCCAACCCCCTGTGTTCCCCACACGACAAGACTTACACTCACAGATGTCCTGGTGTCCATCACCTCACTAATACAAGACCCGATTGGCGACCCACTTGAAATGTGCCCTCGCTTCGCATAGTACTTAATGCCGCACTGATAGTGACTCAACCCGGAGTTAGCTCCCTTTTCCCGTACCCAACTCCCTCTCCGTCCCACAACGTACCGAAACTCACCATCTTAGGGTGGGCCGGGTGGGTGCGGAACAAGATAAAGGGGGCGCCAAGGGTCACGCCCAAATAGCCCTTCACACTTGCCGCCAAACTCCCCACCAAACCCAAGGGCCAGATTGACCGGTCCCCTTGTCTACGCCCAAGTTGCAAGCATTGCCCGGTTGCCCCTTGGATCCGGCGGTCAGAACTGACGCCGGGTATAGGGTTGACAGAAACCGGTGTTTGATGGCTCTGAAATGGCCCAGAAAGGCAGCCCGGCCCAGCATGGCCGGCGCGCGCCCACCCAACGTCGTCCTTGGCAGAAACTCATTCACAGGATAGTTAATCATATCAATGGATTGGCCATTAATCTGCTGCTGCCGACGCACTGTAATTGCACCAACAAGATCAGCTGGATCTACGCCCTGTGGTCAACCGAGAGGCTCCTGATCAGGAGCGCCGCGACGCCGGTCCATGCGCTCCTGTTGTATATTTATGCTTCAATGACGCAACGAATGTGTTCGTAACTCCCTGCATAGGCACACTAATTCCTGCCAGGATGGCAAAATTTACATTAATATTACTGGGAGCTCAACGTAATGAGTTACTGCAGGCGCACTCGACCGCAAGAAGCCTAGAATCACGCCAACGTGGTGGTCTTGTGCTTCAACATGTATAATTGTTTGTGCATCATGAAAGATACGTACTGTCAAATGAAAACCATCACAAATACACCAATCAGATATCCCCTTCAACGTGATTGGCCGGAAATCCTGAAGTTTTAGAAACCGTTGCATCAAAAAGGCCGGAGTGCGTCAATTTTAAATGGAAACATGCGTTTTATACTGTTTGTTGTTCATTTTCTAGAAATGCATGGTGGTTGTACATTCCAAGCCCCTGGTTGAAGACTGCTTTGGGAAATAGTTGTGCAAGACTATGGCGGAGGCCGCCTTAGTCGCACTAAGTGCGGCTTGGTGGGCGTGAACCACAACTTGGACCGGATTCGCAACTGCAGTGCCCAGTTAGAGTAGTGCGGACATAATTCAGTCAACCGCAGGTGAAGTAGAAAATAGAAAGGACAATCCTCAAAATTTCCAGGATAGTGAAGGCAAGTCATGCGGGGGTTGTCAGGGCTCGCCGCAATGATATTCGTTTGTTCTCATAGAGAATGCTGCCTGGAGAAGTATATCAGTGCAATGCTACGTTGTCCAAGGCATACCAACTGAAAACAAGAGGATAAAGTTGGTGCCAAAAAAATGCTTGTTGAGTTCGCTGGCGTGCGGGTGGACTTGCAGAGCACGTGCCTGCGAAGCACAACAAATTGAATGCGCGGAATAGGCGCAAACAAAACGCAATGAAGCAAGGATTCTGTGGTGGCGCCTGGGGGCGTGGGAGTTTCCCACCAACCGCGGGGGTCAGAGAGCTCCCGGCCCCATCCACAGCGAGGACCGCACTCTTTGTCTGTGACTGACTTGACACATCCCCCGCCCGCTGCAGCTTCAAATGCTCGCGCGCCGTTGAAGCGAAACGGGTGCGCACAACGCGACAGCACGCGCCACGGGGCCAGCCCCAAACCGTCCAATGTTCTGCCGCCACCCTCGTACCCCCGTCCGACCCAACCACCCCCGTCGCTCCCACTGCCCCGATCAAGCGGCGCATTCGGGCATTAAATCTGGCCGAGGATGTGCGCCATGTGGGCCTGGCCATTCGCCATCAGCGCAAGGGGCGCGCAGCCCGCGGCCCATATTTCCTCGACGGGGCCCCACGGCCGGCAACGGCCTACTCCACTGGCCTTTGGCCCAGCACCTCTCCCCCCCCGGCCCCCCGCCACACCTCAGGGGGCTCAACAGTCGCCCGAGCTGGGATCCCCGCCCGCCCCACGGCGGCCTGCCTCGCCATGAAGCCTCCCGGAGGGCACGACTATGATGTGTTGGAGGGCAACACGAGGTACAAGAAGGTGAGCCCACCTGGTTGGGTGCCTTCGGCGGGCCCCGTGCCTCGGTCTTTTCACAAATCTCTGTCGGTCGGCGTCTTGGGGCGCGGGGGTGTGGGGGGGGAGGAGGGGCCGAGCCACCTCGGAGCTGTGGGGCCGGGGGGCTGATCGTCCGCGGCTGCGGCGTTGCCCGTGGAGGAATCAGCTCGTTGGGCGGAAAATGTGGCAGTTGACGCGGGCGCGCTCTCCAAGGCGGCGCCGAGCGTGGCAAGGGGGACGGGAACGTTCTGCTCGGCGCGCTCGGCGTCGACGCGAGCGGCGCGGAGGTTCAATGCCATTTGTCCGGTGCTGATGACGCTCTGCCGCGTCGCCCTGCCGCGCCCGCGTCGTTCCGCGACGAGACGCGCAGATGGCCGCTCTTTTTTGCGGCCCCGGGGTGGGTGGGTGAGGGGGGCGTCCGCGCTCCCCCACGAGTCTGCGGGCAGGGCATCCTTTTCTGTGCACAGAAGCTGACACCCGAGGTTGCCCCCCCCCCCACTTCCGGGCAGCCCTGCGAGCATCGGGGCCCAGAGGGCGCGCAAGACCGCTCGGGGCGCGCTGCCGCCGCGCCACGCCGACCTCTGCAAACTCTGCTCTCCCAGAAAACGCCTCGCTGCGCTGCCGCTGATTCACACCTTTCTGGATATCTCTGCGTTGAGAGTTTTTGCTTCCTTGCGGGGAACGGCGTCCTGGCACCGGAAAATGCAGGGGTAATGATTGTTTGTCACTGCGGTCTACGAGAGCACGCGAGGCGCGGGCCTTTTAACGCGGCCTGCGTCGGTGCAGATCCGTGATCTGAACCAGGGGACCTTCGGCTTCGTCCAGCTGGCATGGGACACAAAGACGACACCCCACCAGCAAGTGGCGGTCAAGTTCATGGAGCGCGGAGACAAGGTAGGCTGTGACGCTCGAATGCCGTCCTCTGCGCGCCCCCGCCTTTGCGGAGATTCCGGTGGAGTGGAGTGGCCGACCAGACTGACGGTCATTGCTTGGTCATCGCCGATACCCTCGAAGGGCCGCCGGCCCGTTCGTGTCGTACACCGGCACGTGCACGGTACACCGAGGGAGAGGCATTCACTGGCGGTGGGGGGCTTTTCTCTGGTCGTTCGCGCTTGCGGCCCTGCTGTGGCGCGCGGGGCTGTTGTTGCTTGGCAGGCAACAGGGAGGCGCGGGCCTTGTGGCCCGTGCGTGGCCTGCCTAGCACGCTTGCTCAAACTGCGGGTGCGATCCGTGTTCGCGCTCAGCATGGGCCTGCGTGGGATCCTGAGAGGTGGGCTGTGGGGTGCAGGTCACGAAGTACGTCGAGCGGGAGATCATCAACCACCGGATGCTCCTGCACCCCCACATCATCCAGTTTAAGGAGGTGAGAGGGTGCACACGTGGAGTGGGCGTGGTGATGCCCAGAATGAGCCAGAATGGGGTTGTGGGCTGCCCAAGCTTGGCAGTTGTGGGGCCATTTGGTCGATGTCCCGACATGTGCAAACATATGTGCTTTGTGGTGTCAATTCGGGCACAGTAGTTGACTTGCTTTGTGCTCTTTCTTTGACTGAGATTTTATCATGGAGCCGCCAGCGATGTGGTCATTCTGAATGGCACAGCAGCTTGAGAGTCCTGCAACCATGATGTTTGGCGAATGAAGCTCAGCGTGGCTCCTAAGCATCGTGTGTTTGTTCCACCCAAAGTACTTGAAATCTTCCCCATGGGTATGGAGCTGATAGTATGCAAGCCTCGAAAGGGTTTGCTTAGTTATTGTTGTGCCCTTAGGTGTGACCTGGTTTACCCTTTCAATAGTGCCTGCCTGGCTGCAGGTGTTTCTGACGTCCCGCTACCTGTGCATCGTGATGGAGTATGCATCTGGTGGTGACATGTTTGAGTACGTCGTGAAGAAAAATGGCCTGAAGGAAGATGAAGCCCGCTGGTTCTTCCAGCAGCTCATTGTGTCCATCGACTATTGCCACAGGATGGTGAGCTTGGCACTGCGACTGTGTCAGTTCTGTTAGACTGAGCATTTCTTGCAAGAACTGTGAATGATTTAGCTGGGTCATTAATGTCTTTATTGGCAGTTTCCTGCAAGAATTATCATTTATGTTGACCTGCCGAAGTTTCTGTTTTCACTCCGCTGTGGGCGTGAAAGCCCCATTTCTTCTCTGTTTGTGGATGGCTTTTTTTCAGTTGGCTCAAGCCACATATGCTGCATGATTTGCTGCTGCTTTTTCTTTCTTTTGAGCCCTTGGATGAGGCACTGTAGATGCTGTTTTTCATTCTGCTATGTTGCATTGGCTGGATCAGGGTGTTGCCAATCGAGACATAAAGCTTGAGAACACTCTGCTGGATGGGAGCCTTCGGCCCTTGTTGAAGATTTGCGACTTTGGATACTCGAAGGTTGGTGGAGTTGCTGGGGACTCTGGTTAAGCTCAAGCTGTGTTCCCTCTGGATTCATGGCGGGTTTAGTCAGTGTCTCCCAGGGCGTTGCTCTGAGTATATGCTGCTGTGTAGTGGAGGGGCTCCCTCATTGTTGCTTTTTTGTGCTGTTTTCATTGGAGCCCACACTTTGTTGCACATGTTTGCATTCTTGCTTATTGGATTCATGTTCTCTGACATGAGTTAGGGCTTGTTTGGTTGTTGTAATGTTTGTACTTCAGTCGATTTGTCCGCTGGTCGCCGCTGAAACTCTGTTCAAGGCAGTGCTGTGTCCTGGTTAGTCTGGCGATGTGCACACCTTATCTGCCAAGTTTGCCCCAAAGCACAATGCTGTGGAGATGAGCATTTTTTGTGGTAATTTATGTTTCCTGGCTTCGATGACACCAGGAACAATTTGCGAACATTGGCTATGTTAGTATATGTAACTACTTATGAGTCTTATGCCCTTGACATTCATTTGATGCCTGCGTGCACCACAGTGACGCTGAAGGGTGGGAATTGGGTAGGCTGTCGGCTCTCATCCACTCACAATCCAATCTCAGCTCTTTCCATGATCATCTTGGCAAGTGGATGATCAGGTTGTACTAGTGCCACAGTATTCACCAAGGCCAAACACAATAGCTGATGCAATGACATTAGCAGCTGATCTTTGAGATCTCACTCATAACACTTTCAAGGGGAATGTTGTCTTTCCAATGGCCCGCTTGCCAGACTCTAGGTGTCAGGCACCAACACGTTCGTGTTGGGACTGCTTGATTACCATGCATGACTACATATGGGAGAGTTGGACTGTCTGTAGGCATTGTGCAGCTGTATTGCAGTGCGTGCCAAGCCATCGATTCCTCATGGGTGCCTGTTGATCCCACTATCTATGCTGAGCTCCAAACCCACAGCCCTTGTGCCCTATTCCCGCCCTAGTTGGCACTGAAAGGAGCGATGACGCAGTAGATGTGCGCTGCAGAGTAATGACAACTCCATTCCTAAGTCCAAGGTGGGCACTCCAAGTTACATTGCCCCCGAAGTCCTTGAGGACGAAACTTACAATGCGCAGGTGGGGCATGGGGACGGCTTTGATTGGCGTGTCTTGACAGTATGGAACTCATTGGCCGCCCTGTGTTGATGTCGTGTCCAGCATGAGAAATTCCAGTCTGCCCCGGGGTCCAGAGTAGGCACCCCTGCTTACCTTGCCCCCGAAGTGATCCTCACCACCATGGGCAAGACGTACGATGGAATGGTAAGACGTGGTCCACATAAGCATGTTGCCTGCTGGGGCAGCCGTTGCCTGTTGGAATGTGCAACTGTTCCTCCTTTTGTGTGCTTAAGTGTAAGTTTTTGTGTTGCATGCGTCTATTGATGCCAAGGCACTCCCTCATGCCTTCACCAGTCAATGGCCTGCTGCTGTTGCGTGGGTGTTTTGTGTCATGTTGTAGGTCTTTTTGTTGTTGAGAAATTGCACTTTTTTGGTGGACTGGTGCGTCTGGTGCCATCTCTCCAAAGTTGTACATTGTATATTGTTTGTTCAAGTTCAAGCTCATTGTTTCCAAAGTGCAAGCAACTAAGTGCACAACGCTCTGAATTGCGTTTGCACTTCCAATGTCCTGGGGCACTGACTCAAGGGGAATCATGTTATGGGCGTGCACAGGGATACCTTCAGAATTGGCCTCATCGCTCACCAGTGCCCCGGCATGTTTGGTTGCATAGCAAGCAGCAACTCCAGGTTGCTGTGCAAGCTGGTGACATTGACACAGTGCAAGTTTTCAGATGCATTCCTAAATACATGCAGAGGATTTGAGCATCAAACTGCCTTTTTGTGCGGACCACGGCAAGCCCCTGTTCATGGACGCGATCAGGCTTGCTAAGTGTGGCGTCATTATTTTGCAGATTGCTGACATCTGGTCCTGTGGGGTCATGCTTTTCGTCATGCTGGTGGGAGCATACCCGTTCGAGCGACCAGAGGACAAGCATGACAATCAGAAGCTGCAGAAAATGATCCAGGTATAGAACAGGCCCTGCCAACCTGCCTTAAGATCCAGTTGCCTTTTGTAGAGTGCAGTCATCCAAACGGCCATGCCAACTGATATTCGCAGCTTGCAGGCGATTTGGGGCGCGCACACAGCCCATCTATGACTGATATTACTAATAATAGTAGATTCAGTGAATTCTATGGATTCCAGTGTCAAAAGCGGAGGCAAACAAAGCCTCTGCGGTTTGCAAGCAATGCTGGAGGCTGGATGATCCAATCAGCACTTGGTCATTTTGGCAACATCGTCTTTCTGCACACCACCCACCATCCATTATGGGGGCTGCAATGTATTAAAGTGTCTCAGGCACTGCTGCTCGTGCCTAATTTTATCAAGGTCCTTGTGTCACGGTGGCCATATTCTTTGTCCTTTCAAAACCTTGTGTTGCTTGGCAGACCCCAACGTTTGTGTGGCAGACCGCATTGTTTGTGTGGAAAACCCCAGTGTTTGTGTGGAACAATGCGATGTACTCGATGGCCATGGCTCATGTCCCTTGGCTTCTCTGTGTTGGTTTCAAACCCATGTGGTGCTCTGCTCAGTCCGCAAATGGATCTCCATCCTGGCACACAGCCTTGATTTTCAGCACTTGACTAAGATCTACACTGTCCATGTTGTTCGCACCAACCCAATTGCTGTTTGTGGGCTCACCTTGCAGCGCATCCTGCGAGTGGATTATGCTTTTCCACCCCATGTGCGCGTGTCGAGCGACTGCCAGGACTTACTGTCCAAGATCCTTGTGCGCGAGCCCCACAGAAGGATCACGATTGAGGGCATCCAGAACCACCCCTGGTATCTGAAGAACCTGCCCCCAGGGGTTTCGGAAATGAACAACAACCTCATCATGCCAAGTGAAGGACTGCAGGTGCGTGTGGCAGTGTGTTGTGTGCTTGTATCTTGGATTCAAAACTGGCTATTCGTTTCTTTCAATCACACCCATTTTGGAGCAAACAACAGAGAGAGCCAACACTGAATTGTGGCAAGCTTCGATACATTGCCTGTTACCTCCAATGTGTCCCCAAACTGGAGTTTCAACCACATGTGAGGGCCAGAATGGCAGGCATGAAATCAAACGGAAAATGCGGAAAAGAAGGTAGAAGAGATTCCCAGTGTGCAATTTCCCTTGCTCTGGAGGACATCTAAGACAGTTGATGGTATGCAAACTGGAATTCACCCAGAGGTCTCTGGGTGAGTTCAGCCGTGTGCCCTCACCACTGTGTGCTTTCAACTCCATTCTCTATGTTTCAGAACCCTCCCACCATCCTATGTTTGGTCTGGGTTCGCGTGTGGTCATGTTGGTCTTGATCACACTAGGTTGAGTCATTGCTTTGCCTGTTGTGTGCAAGATGTGGTGTGCACAGAGGGGAGTCGTTGTTAGTAGGTGGTGGTCCACTCTCTCGTATATGCTGACCCCACCCCCCCACCCCCCTTCCCCCCCTGCCTGCTGTGCTGCAGAGCGTTGCAGAAATCAAACGCATTGTCCAGGACGGTGAGAAGTTGGGCACCACAGTGGCGGCCCAGTCCCAGTTCCTTGAGGACAATGTGGATGACTACTTGGATGAGGTGTTGGATGACGACCTGACCATTTGACAATTAGAACAGCCCAGCAGAACGCCCCGAGGATCCAGCAGCCGGACCTCAAGGCAAGTCAGTGGATCCAGTCTGGACGAGTCCTTCGTCCAAGTGGAACAAATCGGTGTTGCGATGCACAGCCACCCAGAGGCATCCGGGTGGTCGTCTGAGGAGGAGCATAGGACAAGGCCGGGTTCCGGTTGGTCGAGCGATGAGGACAAGCCTGCGAGTGGGTACGGACACCACAGAGGGTGGTCGTCTCAGGACAAAGGCAAGCCCCCCATGCATCCTATTGATGAAGGGAGAGCGCCCGAGCGACCGCCGAGCTGGTCTGTGCCTGACGATGAGCGAGCCCCTCAGCAGCAACACACCGGCTGGTCCATTGAGGATGAGGAAGAGCAGAGGACTGGCCACCACACTGGCTGGTCCATGTCCGACATGGGGAAAGGCGAGCACCACACTGCTTGGTCCATGGCGGAAGAGGTGCCCCCGACAAATGTCACGGGCTGGGATGGGGGGAGTGGCAACCCCCCGAGCCACAATGGCTGGCCCATGATGGATGAGCGGGTGCCTGTCGGTCCGCGTGGAGGTGAGCAGTGGCGTTCCAACGATCAGGCTAGGCCTGAGGCGCAGAGCATGGGGAACCCGATCCCCCAGGAGCAGAGGTCTGAGTACATTTCACCCGCACCGAGGGATGTGAGGCCCGCGGCATGGGAGTACGAGGGCCGTCGCGGCAAGCCAAGTGCCAGTCACAAGCAGCTGTTGGGCCCACAGGGCAGGGAGGTGCAGGAGCAGCCGGAGCACTCTGGCTGGTCCTTCGAGGCAGCTCCCAACCCCAGCGTGGGCAGACAGGACCTGACGCCTGGCAGGCAGGACAGGCTCCTGAGCGAGAGCGGCGCGGGGCTCATGCGCGGTGACGAGGAACGGGTCCGAGGGGGTGAACGTTCTGCTGGGCTGTTATCATGTATTTTTGGTTTGGGCTGTTTGAAGGGTAGCAGTAGCAAGAGAAGGACGTGAGGGCAGGAGCACCCCCAGTACGGGCCAGTGCTTGTATTGGTACCTGTATTTGGTGTGCTTCTGTTGGAAAGGGGCTGGGTGGGGAATAAGATAAGCTGTCCCTGGGTTCTTGCTGTGTGATTGAAAGGGGAAAGGAGGGCACGGGCGGCACGCAGTCTGTTGCCATTGTTGGTGCTGCGCCATGTTGGAATGGCACCTGGGGAGGTGAGTAAGCTTGGGCAGCATGGTGTTCTGGTGCCATAAGGGAGATGTCAGAAGGGGGAAGGGTTGATTCAAGACTCTTGGGTATGGGAAGGAGCTTTGCCTCTTGCGATTGGTCTTTTTGGTAGACTCCATGTGCCTTGCCCCCCGTCATGTTGGCGATGGGCGAGCGCAGCATTGCTTCCAAGGGCAGGGCATGCGAGAGGAATAACTGTCCACGGAGCTGGCAATCCGCAAATGGGTCCCCAATGTATAAGGACTTGATGGCCGCTGCCCAGTGGCTGTGGGGGTGGAAGATGGTTATAGTGATGGAGCAGGATTGGGTAGTTGTGGTTATCGTTTTGTACTTCAGATGTGGGGTGACTCGACCAGACAATGACGTGATCCCAACTGAAGACGGATGTCGATCAACCGGGGAGCCAGTTTCGCGTGATTGCTTTGCGATGAACGTTCAGAGGCCATTGTAACGGTCTTTCAAGCTGATGAAATGCCTCTAGTCACTTTGCTCTGCCAATTCGCCCTGCCAGTTTGGAATGCGGAGTTGTGTTCCCAGCGGTACTTGTTCTAGAAAGCGCTATGGCGATGTGCCACAAGGCAATGACGGATAGATGTTGGTTGACACAGAGAATCGTGGTGTCCAATGGGCACACCACTCCTGAACGAGGATGCTCCCCGAATATTTTCCATACTAAAGGCGATGGTGCTCATGTCTTCCGAGTTGCAGCAGGGAGACCACGCAGCACAGAGCAGGGCATTTAGCAAGGCAACATGCACGGCTGAGGCCCCACACGAACAGTGGTGCGAAACCCATGGACGCCCCATGCCCAACAGGCGACGATGTGTGCATGTTGAAAAGGAAGCCGTGTTAAGGTTTGTCGAGTGAGGATGCATAGACTCCCAACTATTCGCCGGTCCGACGGCGCCTAAGGAGGGGGATGAATTTGGAGCGAGTAGTTTGGCGTCTACTTGCTGCGCATACACGCAGACTTGCAAGACAGCTTCCACACGGATCTCGGGCTTGCGTACCCATTGGGGTGGCCACAAATTGTGACACATCTTTATTTGCCGATGGCGGCACAAAACACGACCAGTTTTCTTCCTCTTCTCACAGCCACCCCTCCGCCATTTTGTTGCCCATTGTTCCGAGTTACCGCACAAGTGACCAATATAATGACTGGGCATTATGCGCTTACCGCATAATGCCCAGTCATTATATTGGCCACTCGCGCTAAATGGGTACTCGAACACCACGGACCCTCATCGACCGCGCCCAGCCGGGCCCAATTGCAATTGCGTCCGTCTGAACTGGCGCCTCGGCTGCCGTCCAGGTCCGGCTTTTGCGGGTGCAAGCGGCGTATTTCAATCACCAGGCTCATCACACAAGGCAGCGAGTCGACTCCTCCTTCCCCCAACCCACCCACCCACCCACCCATACTCACGAACGGGGAGCCACCCACTGCCCACACGCGCGTGTGCCTCCCTCACCCCACCCCTCCCCATCTACCCACCCACCCCCGCGTCTAATTTGCTGCGCCTGGGTAGAGAGGCGCGCCAGTCTGCGGGGCGCCAATCGTCCGTGCTCTCTGCACACCAGGCCAGCCCCCGGGCGCTTGGGCGCCCGTCAAAGCCAGCGCCGCCCGCTGGGCGTCCCGAGGTGAGCAAGGCGCCGGATTGGGGTGGGGAGCTTGCCACACGTGCAGCGTGGCAGCCGCCCAGCTATCCAAACCGGCTCTCCTCGCCTGGCCAGCCAACCAGTGGCAACTGCAGTGGAGCGTGGGGGGTGGGCAGCGCTTTGCCCGTCCCTCCCCTGATGTGCTTGGGAGTCCCACCTTTGGGGCCCTGCGCTGCCCCGCGGGGCCATCTGTGCCCCGGCTGTGGTACAGCCAGCGCTGAGGCACAAGGTGCCCGCCCAGGTTGAGATGTCCGGCCACACCAACCTCGAGGCCACCATCTTCACCCACCTGGCGGAGCTGCAGGGCAAGAACGGCGGCCCCGAGGTCAAGAAGAAACCCGCACGGTCGCGCGCCAAGAAGGACAGCTCGAAGGCGGCCGCCCAGAAGCGAGCCGCCCCAGACACGGCCGCATCCCTCCTGTCAAGCCGGCCGAAGAATGACCCCCCCAGGACCCAGGCGCAGAAGCGCGTGCCCGAGGTGCCCGTCAGCAAGCGCCTCAAGGACGTGGTTCAGTGCTTGAGGCAGCATGGGGGCTTGATGTCCGCGGCTGAGATCACGGCCAAGTGCCAGGTGGAGATGGACGACCCGGGCCTGCTGGAGAAGCTGCGGGCCAACGAGAGGGTGGAGCAGCTGCAGGATGGGCGGTACTTGTACAAGCCCAAGCTGGACCACGTCAGGGACAAGGAGCAGTTGATCAATCACGTGAGGGGGAACCCCAGCGGGACGAAATGGGGGGACCTGTCAGATGCCTACCCCGAGGTCGCGCGGGACCTCGAGGAGCTGAGGCAGGGCCGCAGGGTGTTTGTATACCGCAGCCTGGACAAGGACAACGACGTGGTGTACCCCAATGACCCCAAGCTGCTGCACGTGGTGGTGAGTGAGGAGGTGCAGGCCTTGTTCAGGGAGTCCAAGTTCGAGGGCACAGAGGAGGAGCTGGAGGGGGCGCTGAAAAAGGCGGGCCTGGTGAGGGCCAAGCGGCGGGGCGTGTTCGAGAGGCAGCAGGTGGAGAGGCCGCGCAAGGCCCCCAGGAAACGCAGCTTCCGAAAACACATCACCAACACCCACATGGCTGACACGGGGATCGTTTGAGCCATGGTCAAGTGGTGAGGGATTGGTGTTTGAGTTTGCTGCACATAGCCCAAGCAAGAGGTCCCCACTCTTGTGGCCCATGCCCCCACTCACGGGCCACCAAGGCGGCTGGGTCTTCTCTGGCGGGCTCGCAAGTAGCCACAGTCGCAACAGAAAAGGCAGAGCTGCACAAAAGGGGGCATTGTCGTCACTGAGCAAGACAGTCCGTTGGCCGGCGCAGTCCACGTCACAAGAACGGCTGCCAAAATGACCGCCCGGACTCTCCGAGGTGCTCTGGCGGAGTTCACATTAATAGTGAATGGAGTTTGTGGGGTTGCAAGGCTCCCGGACACACACCTCCTGGGAGAGTAATTGCATTTCTACCCGCAAATGTTCTTGCTGCTGAAGAGCGTGCCCATACGTTCCCATACACAAGGGAATCGTGTGTCCCGACAAAGAGGTTTGGGTGAACAGCTTCAACCCTTTGGGTCCCCAATAGCCCCAGCAGTATTCCCCTGACAGTCTGTGGCACCAAAATGAACGTCTACAAGCTTTCATTCCCCATCACCCCAGGCGGGCGATTCCCTGACAAACCTGCAGACCACAAGACCACAACACCATGTTCAGGTACACCCTACCACTAGCCAGCTAAGCTGTACGCCCTTCAACCAACACTGTCGTTCAGATCGTGAGCAGACGAGGGAATCTGTCTCGCCAGTATTCATCTGTTGACACCTACCTTCCCTCCACTGGATTCACTGGCATCAACTTTGTGCCGAGAAAAGCAAAACCTGCTACCAACTCTGCGCTGAGAGCACCTAAATTTGTATCCCAATAGTCACAGTCCACAAAACTCTACAAAGCTGTGTGGGCACCAGTAAGGCCGCAACAGCTGCAGCAACCTCCAAACCCGAGTGTACCTGGCGACGTGTGGATGCTTGCACAGCAACAAAATGAAGCACAATGCCAAGTCTGCTCCAGTTTCCAACCTCAAACTGTTGACACATTTTAGGGTCTCTGTGTAGTGTTTTTGCAGCATGTGCCTTCAAGGCTGGAACCATAACACCCCAGCCTGAGCAAAGCTCCCATCAACCATGGGTGTCAGCTACAGCACCAAGGCAATATCAGCATCAATTTCGATTCACTACCACTGACAGCACAGAATGCTGCCCATGGGCAAACCCTTATGCCGACTGCACGTCATCACCACAACCTTTTGTGGGATGGATGTATGAGACAACGATTGGGATGACAATTCCAATCTGGCAGTTTCGGCACAGAATGCAGCCGGATGGTGTCATGCTCTGTGCAGATCCAAGACCTCTGTAGGTAAGAAAAGCAGTTCTCACACAACACACAGACACTTGATGCAGAGGTCTCGGCTTCTCCCTGCCTGCAGACTGCAATTTTCAGCACAATATTTAGTACAGTCTTCCAGGAAGGTTCTCCCAAGCCTGCAAGAAGGCCATGGAGACCTTGTGTGCCTTTGCCATCCCTGCCTCCTGGCCAGAGGTTGTGCTCAGTCATCACAGGTCCAAGACAAATATCCCATGCCTCTGTTGCTTGCCGCTGCCCGCCTTATCCTCCCCTTCTTCTGCACCACAGAACAATTGCGCCGTGCATTGCAAGCCCTTGGATAAGAAAGGGCACAAATCTATTCACATGTTGGAAATCCTTTACTTTGCCACTTGGCCTATTCTCATTTTCTTTATCACCACTCCAAGCCGACTTACTTCTTGCTTGCTGCAAGGCAGCACGCCAAAGCTCAGTACGAGGCACCCTAAGACCCACAAAGGCCAACACGAAGTCCTGCTGTTGCTATCCTTTTGCCAACAAAGGCTGCTGGCAGAGGCAGCATCCGTGCCTCCAATTCGTACAGTCCTCTGTGCTGCCATGTTGGTGCAGAAGGCAATTGCATTGGTTCAGTTCAATTGGCTTCTTTCGCGACAAGAGTGTGCCCAAGCGAAGTGCTGTCGGTGACGCGACTCTTGAACCCAAACGATTGGCCCACATGCACGGGCCAATAACCCCCACTTCACCCCAACTCAGAGTGGCGGACCGTAGAGGATGCACCAAAGGCACGTCCTTATTGGCCATCGGACCACTTCCCTGAAGCGAGGCCCGCTGGCGTCACGTTCCACAATCGGGGCTGCCAAACACCCGTGCGCTTGCCCCGCGAATGGACACTATCACAAGTGCTCGGATAGGAAAGAAATGGACGCTGGGAAGCCAACAGCTCCCTGTGGACGCCCAAAAGAAGCACAAAAAGTTGGACCCAATCAGAAAACAATTGATGAGGCAAAGGACACAAATGGACAAATCAGAAAAAAAAATAGATCCGGCAACTGCGCAGCTCCGCGGACTTCCAGGAGAGACGCCAGTCTCGGTCCCAGGCGGGGGAGCATCGTCAGGGGCACCGCCTTCGGCACACACAGGCCTCCTCTCGGCCTCCAAGCCTGTCCCCCCCCTTGCGCGACGCGCAAAAGGACCCATCAGTGGCGCGCCGATCATACGCCGCGCAAGAGCGCGGCCGGCCCACAGCACCGCGTTCTCCGTCCGCAGCCATGTCGCCAAGCCGCCAGGCCAACAAGTCGCCGTGCCAACAGGCCACCAAACCGCCAAGCCGCGAAGTCCCGATGGCAGCGCTGCGGCCAGGCGCGGCGCACGACCGCGAAGCGGCACGCCACCAGCCAGCAGCGCCGGCAGCCCAATGTCAGACTGGGGACCACCCCATCTTGAATGTCCGGGGAAAGTGGACCCTCCCATGTTTCCTACCGCAGTACTGAGCCGCCCACACCGGTGGGGGAATACACAGCCCTTTGGTGGCCGAGGCAAGGGCAGGCCTCAGGCAGGGCCCCCCCCGCCCCATGGCCACGGCCGACCCCGCCCAGCCACCCAAGGCCGACGATGGCCAAAAGAGCGGGAGAAGGGATGAGGGGAAGGGGGGGAGGGTGGAGTGGGGCGACACGGCGCCGCCCAGGCGCAGGGCGCCGCGGAGGAGACGGAGGGCGGCACCACCCGCTGAGGGCCCGCCCGGGGAGGAGCCAGAGGAGCCCCTGCGCGGACTGTGAGTCGCCTTGAGGGATTTAATCTCGGTTAAGGGAACCGCCGGGGGAGGGGGGGGGAAGAGCGTCAAGATGTGTTGCTGTCCTAGGAGACCGCAGGGTCCAAAGGTGTACCCCCCGTCATGGCAAGAACGAGATGGGCCGTCGTCCGCTTTGCAGCGCTGTATGTTCACCGGCAGCAAGAATGAAATCCAGAACATGAGGGGTGTGCGTGGATGGGTGGGCGATTGGGTGGGTGGGGACTTTGGACTGAGATTTGTGGATGTGGGTTGTTGTGCGTGGCAGATGATTCGAAAGTGGCGGGGCGCGAGGGGAAGGGCGCGCGATTCGGGACGTCCCGTGGGTTTTTGGAGTCGGGGGGCCCGAATTTGGAGTCTCGATGGTTTTGCCCGTGGGCGTGGGAACGGGTCGCTGCGTCTGCGTACCTGTGTGATGCATCTCAAAATGCTCATCTCGAACAGCGGGATGGCGGCCTCTGGTTTGTCTGGCGTGCCGCCAGCGCCGCCTCTGAGCGCGATCTCGGGGTCTGTATTGGATCGGGAGCTCTGGGTCGTCTGTGATGGTGGGCTGTGCGACGCCTGGCTTGGCAGGTACTTCGTGAGGATCGCGAAGCCCAGTTTCGACGGCCTGGCCGTGGCCAGGCTCCAGCAGGAGTTGGAAATGCACGTCGCGTCTGTGAAGCTGCTGACGGAGACGCTGAGAGTGAAGAGGGTGCGCCACATGCCACTTTTGGACGTGGTCCTTTTGAAAGATGGTACTGTGTCATTTTTGTTGAAGAGAATTCGTGCACGCTATGGGCAGCCCCCGCCTGAGCAAGAATGTTTTGATATGTTTGGCATATGTAGAGGTTGATGGCAAGCTCTTCAGTTCCAACAGGAAAACCATGCAAGACATTGTGTTGATTGTCAGGGTGGGATGAGTAGTGCATGTGGTAAGGCTGCAGCCGATGCTGGTGATGTGCGGCCAGGCATTGTTCTTTTTTTCTTGAGAACTATTCCAGCACAGTTAGGAGTCAAATTGCTACCCTATACTACTACCAAGTACGTGCCCTGTGGCACCTCACAGGAAAGTTAAAGGCCATGTTATATCCAAAGACAGGTTTGTGCAAACAACAGCAGTGCACAGTGACTGGCTACATCCCAGCATGCAGACACAAAATGTTGAGCAGAATCAAGGCGTATTGATTCAATGTTGGTTCAGGGGACGACCTGTGGCTCACCCAGTCAGTGAGGAAGCGTGCACACAATGAGACGCTAAGGAATTGAGAGTGGGAAATTGTTGAGTCCTGCCAAGGAACTAGTGGCCCCAGGTGTGCTCCTGTTTCATGGGTAGCTGCCCTCTCAATGGTGGTGCTACGCGTGCAGTAAAGATGTTGCCAGCTGTGTTTGGACTTTGACCCAATACCCCCTCCTGGCAAGTAGTGACTGCATGAGAGAGTCAGGTGCACGCTGCTGATGGCAACACGTTTAATGGTAATGCAGGCAGCGCATTCTGCTGACAGGAGCATTGTGTTTGCTGAGGGCCAGGGACAGTAAATGGGAAAAGTCCGGTTCAATGCCCAAGTGGGAAAGAAATAGTGTGGCCACACACACAGGGGCACAAGGGCTGCACTCACAACAAGGCTGAAGGCCCCTCCATTTTTGTACACTGGCGCCAAATGCCGCTTTGTGCCATTTATTGATCCAGTGCCATCCTGATGCACACCACAGCCGACTATGGCATTGGTTTGTTGTATCACTGTGCATTGTACATTGTGTGTTTAGTTTTGCACTTTCCTGTAGGTTTGCACATGGAGCAGTGTGTAGTGGGCCATTGTTGCCCTCTTTATGCACTGAGCCTCCTCCATGCAACAATTCTCTACACGGGAGATTCCCGTTTGGTTTAGAAGAATCCAACTACACAAGCAAATGGCAGCAGTTCTGTCCCTCGTTCTCTCAAAAGACCAGCATTCAGGTCGCTCTTGGGAGCCGCTCGTCAGTGGTACGTCAATGGCTGTAACGACAGCTTTCCGTTTGTATGTGCAGATGGACAAGAACCAGGCGCATGCCAACACGCAGATAGCACAGGAAGCCCTGCGTGCCTCCCAGCAGCGGGTACGAGCCAAGAGGCAGGAGGTTCAGCCCCTGCGGGCCGCAAGCCGCAGAAGCAGTGCAGCCAACAGGGAGCTCAGGGACAGCCGACAGGGTCTGGAGTACCTGACAGAGGAGGAGCTTGACAAGCGAATAGCCGGGCTGGAGTACAGTATCGAGCACGAGACGGTGTCTCACAGGTGAGTACAGTTGGTTCTGTTGAAGACGTTTATATCATAGCTCAGATAGCACTTTGGAAAGGAAACAACATTGTTGGTATTGGTGCTAATATGACAACATCACATCGAGGAAATGTTACAACCCCATTTTATGCTGGCAGCTATTATCCACGATTGATGAACACCCCTGAACAGGGCCAGTATCATCCGCCAGGTGTGTCTAGGTACATTGTACGAATAGTTCCATTTGAGCATGGTAAATGGAATTGAGCACATCTGGGTCCCTTGAGAATCTGTTGGTAGTGTCGGGCCAGGGTATGGTAGTTTTGATGAACAGCTTTGTCTCTGTCCTTCAGGGAGGAGAAGGACATCGTTGCTCAGATCAAGAAATTGCAGGCCCAGAGGCCACGTGTTCGCGAGTATGCGGCAAAGAAGGCGTCTGTAAATGCACAGGTTCCCACCCCGGAGGACATGGCCTACCTAAGCCAAGCTGACAGGGAGCTCAAAGTGCTACGAGAGGAGGAGGATTCTTGCAGGAATGTGCAGCGTGAGCTGCTGAAGGTGGAGAAGAGAATCGATGAGGAGGTGAGGGAGGTGCTTAAGGAAAGGGCGGAGGTGACTGCTGCCAAAGACGCGACTTTCAAGCAACTGAGGGTGGCTCAGGGCACAGGCCGCGGGGGGAGGCAGGGCGCTTGGCGAAATAACAGGGCCTTCAGCAAGAAGGTGCGGGCAATGGTGGCAGAAGGCAAGATCGAGGAAGCCAAGGAGGCCTGCGAGCAGCAGACTGAGGCCATGATGGCAAAGCTGAACAGTGACACGGCGTACAGGGAGGAGTATCTCAAAGCCTGGGAGACGCAGCGGCAAGCGCCCCGTGTGGTGGTCGGTATGCCGGAGGCAGATGTGGAGCCAAGAGAACCGAAGCCCAGGAAAAAAAGGGAGCCCACCAGTTCAATTCTTGATGTGCCTCTGAAGCCTGGCCAGAGCAAGGCAGACGCCGTCATTGAGCGCGCTCTGGCAGCTGCCACGGCGGAGCTGGCTGCAGAAAAAGCAGGGTGTGCAGATCCTCTGCTCAAGCCATCTGGGGTTTCAAGAGAGTGCGAGCCCGTTGTTGGTGACTCTGCCACTGAACCAAGAAAGCCACCTGCTCCCAAGAAGGAGGCAGTCAATCATTTGCCCATGAATAACAGCATGAACAGCTCTGCTGCCCCAGATGTACTTCCGTTCGAGCTGCCAGCTGCTGCCAAGGAGCAAGTGGCCCAGCTGATCAATGACAAAGACGTTCAGAAAAAGATAGCTCAGGAAGGCAAGGGCCGGAAGGAGAGGAGCAAGACCTTGGCGCAGAAACGACGCCAGAAGGCCATCGAGGGAAAGCAGGCAAGGGAGGCCGATGCCAAGAAAGCCAGTGAAGAGACGAAAACACAGGGAACATCTGTGGAACCCAATGCGGATGCTGAAGTGTCTTGCAGTGCCATAGCTGCTTCTGTCCCAGAGACGGAAGTTGTGGCTGTGCCCAAGGCGGTCACGGCCAAGGAGGAGCCCCGAGCGCGGCACAGCACCCCTGATGTTGCTGTCAAAACTAGGTCTGTGGGCGCCAGACAACGCATGCCACGGAGGAGTAAGGGAGGAATTGAAGCCATTGCGAGCAAGTACCAGTGGCATGCAGTTGCGGCGGTTCTTGCACTCTTGATACTCTTAGCCGTGTGTCTCATGGCCATGTGATGAGTCAAGATACCAGCAATGGCCAGGCAACGATGGAGGCGGGGAAGAAGATTGGGTGTCTTTGTCTTGCCAAGATTGATTGGTACTGTGCCATGTTGCAGTGTTCCCCTTACTTCCACCGCACATTGCTGCATAGGGCATTGTCCCAGTGCCTTGGCCTTTGATGTGCGCTGCTCGTCTTGTGAGCGCCACCAATGCTAGTTGATGCCAGGCACTTGTGTGAGAGGGGTCCGGTGGGCTGCAGCTGTTGAGTTGTTCACTTGCGATTTGGATGGGCCTGGGGGCTGTGCTTTTGTGATGGAAAATGCCACTGGGGCGCATTGACAGCATGTAAAAACAGTGCAACATGGGCAGGCATCCAGCCATTTATGTTTGTGTAACCCTAGAGTGAGGGCAGATTGTGTGCAAGGGCTTGCAGACTTGACGATGCATAGCAGTGCATAGAGAACAGCAGTGGGTGGGTGGCCTGTCCACCGGGTGGATGTTGTATGACGAGTGCTGCAGGACAGCTGACTGGCAGGGGCCATTGAGAAGGGTATGCACACGGGCAGGCTCTTTCTCAAACGGCAGATTGCTGCTGTGCCGGATGCAAACCAACGGAGCCTCGTTCGCTGGTCGGTGTGCGGAATGTGGGACGAGCGCGAGTGGGATTGCTGGTGGGAAACTGTATGGTTGTGGGATGGGATCAATCTCAGGCTTCTCAAGACAAACGAAGCATTTTTGGCGCCATCTTGGGGCTCTTGGAACGGGCCGGCGAACACAAGCGACCATATAGGCGCATGTCTGGCGGCAACAGGACGATCCCGTGGCTTGCTTCGCAGTGTGGTGGTGTGTAGGGCGGGCACCTTGGTGTGTGCGTGGGTGAATGCGTTGACTGCATGTGGTGTAAAGTGACAGAGCGTCGCCCGTGCGCCGCGGTTTCAAGCACATGTCAACGCACAGAATGTGTGTGATGCCCCCCTTCAAGTTCTGCAACATAGTCTATGATGACCCGATGCTTTTTTGCATTGTTACTCCTCCATCCGACAATAAATGCTAGCTGTACCTTTACATCACTGTTACGTCAGTGTTTTGTGTTCAAACCTCATCCAGTACGGACAGAAATGACATTAACTATCTTGTTAATAGATTTCCACCCAGAACGACGTTGGGTGGGCTGCGCTGAGATTCGAATCAGTCGCAGTCGTTTTCAAACGGGTTTCTGGCCCTCTCTAGTACCTTGGGTCAGTCAAAGTACGTAGTTTCCAAGGTGCCGTCGGTTTGGCGCCCTTGGACTTGGCGGGCTCTGGCGGGGCTGAGCGGGGACGGCTATTTAGACTCCCCCCTCGGTCCCTCTCTTATCTTGTTTCGCACCCAGCCCTCCCGCCCTAGAGAGTGGAGTTCGGTTGAGTTGTGGGAGAGCTAGGGAAGGTGTGGTTAGCAGTACGGGAAAGGGGGCTGACTCGGGGTCCAGTCAGGGGAGAAAGTGAAGTGAAGCATGGGCGAAGCGAAAGGGCAAACTGTTAAGTACGGGGACCTCGGGTATGTGGAGTTATCGGTGATGGACACCTTTGTTGTAATGTTTTGTCGTGTGGGGAACATGACCGGGAGGGTTCAGGAGCCCGGTCAGGCGGAAGTCCTTTGCATTCGTGGTGTTGAAAGGATGGTGTCCAAAAACTATACCTAAATTCAAAGAAAATAGACTCACACTGTTTCGACGCCCCAGGGCTCCAGGCAATAAAGGTCGAATCTTCTGTGTTCCTAGCAACATCCCAAAATTGCCATGGCGAATGGGATCGCTGCCAGCCATCACCCAAGGCCAGCAATGGAAAAATTGGATTTCTGCTGCGTCCGAAGGTTGGCGCACTCACCCTGATGAGGCAGGGGTTACTAAAACCGGCTCCTAAATGTTCATCTTCGACCGTCGTACGTATTCTATTATTTCACCCAAACAAGTGCCATGTGGATGACGTTGAACGGAGGTAGGGAAGGATTTTCTTTTTTCTTGAGCTGCCGTTGGGACTTGCAGCATCTGGCCTTTGCGATTTTGATTCAGTTCTAAATGCTTCACGTGAACTCACTGCCTGAATTCGCTCTAGATTCCTTGTGCATATCCTTCTCCTTGTTCGTTTCCCTCCTTCTACAGCTCACCAGATTTTTATCAGATTCATATTCAGGTGACCTGGTACACCAAGCAAATGTATTGGCGTGCAGTATTACGTCAGCACACGTGCCGATACAACGTACGTCGTATGGAAAACCAATCACACACGAAAGACTACCATCATATCGAAATCGCATTCCCATACCGTGCACGTGGCACCCGAATCTTGATTTGCGCTTGCGAAATCGCCTGAGTCCTGCACAACTGGCAAACGGTTGACGTTGATGAAATATTGTGTGTAGAGTATCATTGATGCAGCAACGAACATGGTGCAGCGAGGCCATTGTGTCGGCCTTGATACAACATTCGCATACACATCAGCGCTCTTCGATATTGACATGTGAGCATTCGTGGAAGCAATGCAGCTACAACACTGCATCAACGTCTACCGATTTCCCAGGTGGCTAAGCCGCCTAAGGAGGTCGTCAGCTTGCATCTTGGATGATCGGAGAGCATTTTCAATCACGCCCGGAGCCGCCAAACTGCCATAACCCTCCAGGACAGTTTGCTATTCGCCATGTATGCTTTAACTACACGTGCAGCAGCAGCAGCACAGCGCAGTGCGTTTCCCTTCTGTACGATGTTTTAAATGGACTAAGCCGTCCAACACCCCTGGTAGCGGCTTGTACCACTCCATGGTCAATTTGAGGTCTCACCCGTGCCCACCCCATGGCCCCCCAACCCACCATTCTGGCTACACTAGTGTGGTCAATCATGTACTTGTTGATATTGGATGTTGCTTCACCGTGCTTTAAGTACTGTCGAGCTTTACAAAGTACTGATTGGTCGATATTTTTTCGACGATAACACTCATTTTCGGGCTGATTCAAGTCATCGGTCGGCCAACGGTGTTGACTAAGTCAACCATCTTGTTGACTCAAGTCAAACCATGACGTTCGCCTGGCGCCTGGGCTCTCGAGGCGAAGGCAACCGCTGCGCCCCCGGGGTTGCGCAGGGATGCCGCCTGGGGGCTGAGGGGCCGCGAGGCGTAACGGCGAGGCGTGGCGCTGAGGCGTAACGCCGAGGCGCGGCGGGCATGGCGAAGGGGATGGAGTACGCGGCTCTGCGGCGGGGCGACCATGGCCTCATGTGGGACGTGTTCCGCAGTGATACCAACCACTGGGAAAGGAAGCAGGTCGGAATATGGCACGGTCCCGGGATATTTCAGTGTCCGGTGCAGGCTTTAGTAAGCCAAAGCCGCGCTCCAGATGCCTCTGAAATCGTGCCTCAGGAGCTGGAGAACTCGCGCTGTTCTATGTACTGAACATCCTTAGGCGTTTGCAGAGGGGCCGGGCGCGGCTGAGGCTGCAACGGTTAGGCCTTTCTGAATTCACGGGACTGGGTTTGTCTCACAAGACAAGCATGTGGTGCAGATGGGTGTTTGAAAACAAGCAAGAATAACAACCATGGCGATGGCATGGCACTGTTTTGGCTTCCATGGCGGCTGGCTTCTCTAGGTACATTGTCGCCGATTGGTATCTCCTGGGAAAATTGAATCTAGCGGGTTCTGGACTTCATTGGTGCAGTAGATTTGATTGTAATGAACAATTCAAAGACTCTAGGTTTGCCTCTTGTAGCATAGAGTTGGCGGCTACGGCCTTGATTTTGCGTGTGACGTTCCTGGCGCTGAATTGACACCAACAGCAGCCATTTTGAACAGGGTTGGAGTGCAACTAACGAGAAAAGCGATAGCACATATCAGGTCTTGTGTGCAGCTGCTAGGCCGCTGTTTCCTCCATGAGAAGGACGCCAACATCCTGTGCATTGAAAGTGCAAATCACTGCAGCTGCAATCAGGCAGGCAGCATTTATTCGCAGTGGGGGGCGGCATTCGCATTATGGTGTTCTTTTGACCTCAACAGCAACAAGGGGGGCGTTAGCTTAGAAGCTGGGCGCAAACCGTTGCAAGCGTTTGCCAAGAATCCATGCTCGATATGTAAATTGAGAACGAAATTAAATATGCTTGCGATGATTAAATTGTGAATCACAGCTCTGCTAGCCGGAGGTTTCCTTGCGACAAGGAATGAGGAACAGCTGCTTTGATTCATGCCACCCGCCAGGAGAAACCAAGGCCACCACTGCTGGAAACTGCGCACGACAACCGTGTTTGAAAAACTGACCTCCTCTAGCACTCTCCACTCTTTTCTTCTACTCCCTTCGGTGCTTCCGAACTGAAGGAGAAGAAGATTTGCTACAGATGGTGTTATGAGTCATAACTTAAAACAAAATTGCGCACGTCACCGTCCGTGCTAGACCCGCAATACCTGACCCATCAGAATGCATCATGGCCACGGCCAGGGCTGCTGCCTCCGAGTTGAGCAAAAGCCGTCGCCTTTTCCAATTCCCTTGAGAAGGAAAGCCCACTGACGTTCTCGAAGCGGGTGTCAGGTCGAAGACGATGCAATAAAGCGAGAATATGCCGTTCTTTTGCGCGCCCAAATCACGGAGAAAGAAGATAAGAAAAGGGAGGAAAGGGCTAAAAGGCGAGGAGGCGTGTCGAGCGCTGCAGGGAAAGGAAAGGTCGATTTCTCGCCTCCCCATCCTGCCCCCAGGCGGCATCTCGCAGAGCAACAACAACGGACCAACCAAATGCTGGCGTCGGCAGCAGGTCATGACTGTGGTCGATTGGACCCCAAACGGTGTTGCCCCACAAGTGAGCCATCACCCGTACAGGAGCGGGGGCATTTGCTCGGTACTAGTAATGATGAAATGGCGAGAAATTTGCCGTCTGACCGCTGGGGACTGGAGGGAGGCGCCGCCCGTGCTCAGCTTGTGAAAAGTGTCGCGCATGAGAATGGAGGCATGGGGGTGGCGGCACAGGGAGGCTACGGCCTGCTTGTGCCACTGGGCGAGAGGTGGCCGGAGGTGGTGAATCGCGCCCTTGGAGCGGTGGCGCCACCTGCGACTGTGGGTAAGTATGAGAAGCTCCCTGGATCTGCAGGAAATGAACTTGGTAAAGACAGCATCAGGAAATATACCAAATTTCGTACCACGTTTGAAACTGGTTTCGAATAATCGAAATTTTCACAATATTTATACTTTTCGGCGCTGTTTTCAATTCTCAGAACAGTTTTCAGCTGGTTTTCGGGAGCAGAGAGTGGCCCCTTAACATGGATCTTTCGAAAGTTTCCGTTTGACGCACGTCGAGACCTGCTGTCCTGTAGTCCTCATTGAATCTCATGGCGCTACCGCATTAATATTGGAACAATTGTCCGCAGATTTCAGCATCTAGGGCTCACATTGTCTCATATTGAAGCACAGAAGATCTTTAGAATCCTGCAATTGCCCCAAGAGAGAGCTAGAACAACATTGTGTGTCGCTCAATACCAATTAATGTCCTTGCATCTCTCATGCTGTGCATGTATGGTGCTGATCTTGCGTCGCTGATGAGGCGCATTGTTCGTCATCAATCAATGTTGAGCATCGCAAGCGATGGCCACGCCGGGACAATGCGGATAAGCGGCCTCCTCGCAGACAGAAACGCGAACGTCAGCCACAGTTTTGCCGTGCTCGACGAGCATATTAAACATGTGAGGTGTCGCACGTAAGTGGATTAGGCAGCACGCGAAATTTACTCAAAACTGCTCCGCGCATCAACGCCTTTTCCATTTGGAAATATTACCAGACCTGTTATTTCCAGCTAGACAGTCATTATACTAGTTAACAACCGATGCAATTTAAGCCCCAAATCCGCGGCGTGCGTTTGAAAAGGTGTGTTGCGTGCCCGCAGCTGCCCGTCTCGGTGCCTGAGGGACCTGGTGGTTTGGCAGACCCCAACGCGTGGCCGGCCGCCGCACAGCAACCCTGGCCGCCGCGTCAAATGGCGGAATGGGATCAGGGCCGAACTGCGAGCGGAGAACAGGACGACCCGCACCACCGGCAATTCGCAAGAAGGAGGGAGAAATTAGGTGACGCCTTCCACGCCCCGATCGACACGCGACGACTTTGAGCCACCGCGCACCATCTTCCCTGTCGAATAGCAAGTTGCAGGGAAAAAATGGTTCAAGACACAGTATTTTACATTAGTTGCCTGTATTATTCTTCCCTTGAAGGTCGCCGTTGGTGCTTTGGCGCTTGTGTGCATTGCTTTCTGTTCCAGTGGTTCTGGACATTGTAAATGGATCAGTTGGACCGATATAGCTTTATAAGATGTGAGGACTGTCTTTTGTTTGCCGTTTGACCAACGTACACGTTGTCCACGTAACCAAAAAAGGGACACAATTGATCTTGTGCACACAATATGTTGTGCGGTAACATGTTGCTGCACGATGCGTGCAGAAGATCCAGAACGCTGTTCGAATAGGACGCAAAAGGCAATTACATCCATTGAGCTTTTGCCACAATGCGATCATATGTGGAATCTGACGACTCGGACTTGCCATTTTTACAAGGGACGAAAGACTCAGAAATATTAGAAACTAATCCCAATGGGTCAAGAAATGTCATTTTGACGCATTTTGGATGCGTCATGTGATCTAGTAATGACCTTCATTTGTCTGTTGAGAATAGACGCAGACCCCGATTCAGCCTGAATCCACTCCTTGGCCAGATTCTCCGCAAGGCACTCTTTCGGGATTCGGGCCCGGAGAAGCGGAACTGAAGCTGCGGAAGGAGCAGGAGCAGAGACGCAAGGAGGCATACCGCTCGGAACTGGAGGCGCAAATTTTAAGCAAGCGCGAGGAGCGACGGCGCGCGAAGGAAGCGGAGATGCTGGAGGCCCTCAGGGTAGAGGCAGAGGTGCAGGGGCTGGATCCATCGGTGGCGCTGGCGAGCGGCTGGGCGGGACAGGACACGGGGAGGGCTGGAAAGCCGGCGCCCAGCGGGTGCTTTCCCGCTCAAGCGGTTGGTCCACCGTCCGGTCCAGTGGTGAGTAAATCGAAAATTCACGAGTTTGCGTTCGTATTTTGGAACGTTTGTGTTCTGACAGATCCTGTAGTGGCGATGTAAGCCGAGTTATAACGGAGAGCACTGAAACGGTCATGACCAGCTTTTGGCGCCATCTTCGACCTACTTTGCCGTCTTCGTTCGTGGGTATGAGAGGCGTAAGTCTCCATCAGTTGAAGTGGATATAATGCGAGAGTAATCGGCTCTAAATTGAGTGATACATTCACGATGAATTAATTGCTAGTAGCCAATCTACCGTTCATCCTCCTAGTAAAGGACAAACTTGGGAATGGTTAAGGGATTGTCGGCATTTCTGCTTTGGGCAGACGGCCTGGCGTCGGATGGTAATGCGAACGACAATTGCCGCTTTACAATGGGCATCTGAACTGATCAATAACTGTCAATAAATTGAAGGATGCAGTTGCGGCTGTCTGTCGGCTGTGGCGTAATTGACCAAGACCAGCGTGTGCATCGCCGACCAGAAAATGTCGTGGATATTTTCATTGCATATTGATACTCCCGCTGAGGATGCATTTTGCTATGTTCCGAAATTTTATGTGTCACTCGTGACCTCGGATGATGAAAATGTTATGATGGAAATGTAGAGAAGTTTTCGAATGCACGCTGTCAAGACAGCAATCAATAAAATCGACCAATGATTATGACAATGAAACAAAAAAGTGGCAACGGCACCGACACGCTTGCACGCTGAATTAAATCTAGTGTAATTTCAGTGACGATCTTCATTTTTAAATTACTCAAACATCGTTTAAAACAACATATTATGAATCACATCTGCGAGTTGCTCTGGTGCCCTCGGCTCCCAGGCCCCTGTGGACGGCGACAGGCTCTGCCAAGCGGTCGCGCCTCCTCGCACGGCGGAGGAGGGCAGTGTCTCCGAGGTGCGGCGCTTTGCGACACAGCTGGGCGCCGGCGACAGGGCCGCCCGCAGGCAGTCCCAGCTGGGGGGCACGGAGATCCTGGTGAACTTCAGGTCCGACCGGGCGTTCATGTCCGTGGCGGAGATGGAGGCCCGGCAGCGGGCCGCCCGCGCTTTGCAGAAGGCACTTCAGAAGCAGATCGAGGATAAACGGCAGAAGGAGGTGGGCCGGGCGAAGAACCTCTTGAGTTAGCTTTGCGATAAAACACTTATCAGCAAAGACGACCACACAGCAGCCATGCAATCGTCACCCCCTCTTCCCGTCACCGCCATTTGAAACAAAGGAATTTAGTAGGCAGCCAACTTTTTGCGATGGGCTGTGAGACTTCGGGGGAGCTGTAGCAACGCTGCTGCAATTGGCTTGAACTATCTTTTGTCTGGCGAGGCCAATTGGTGCGGTTGCATAGCGTATTTTGTTCAACCCTTCCGCATCAAAAACATTACGCTGTTTTCTCTGCAGTTTTCCGGAGTGTTATCTATTTGCTTTGATGTTGGTCCGAAAGATTTTTACTTGATGTTTCTCCGCGAAAAAAAGGCTAAGCGTTATGCTACTATGCGACAGGGTTTAATAAAATATGGTAGTGCGGAGTGCGACGCTTCCTCCGAAATTGTGGTGGGCCGTTAAGGCTCTGCTTTTGCTGCTCCAAGGTCGTTGCTCAATCTCGGCATGTGATCGGCAAAATGCTTCAGTCGTGTGCGCCAGCCACCACCTGTCAGGCGCAGGGGTACATCCTATCGAAAGAGTTGGCAGATGACGTAAATTGGTGGCGATCACGACGTGCTGCACACCACGACAGGCCAACAGCGCATGATGAAATGATAACGATACATTGAATGACCATTCAATTGCTGCTGCTCATGGTGGTGTTACGGCTAGAACTGATTGAGTGTTATTAATAACTGAATGTATGAAAAGATGACGAAGCACTAGGAATTGCATTAAGGATGTTGACGAACGGACTGAGTATAAAGGACAGAACGTCTGTTGTCCTTTTGCCTCGGCTGTAAACCGTTGCCGTGGACTCGTGCGTATAATTCCCGTTCAGGGATCGCCACCCCTCGACCCTGCCTGCCTTCGTCAGTGGCGCTGCCTAGATGATAGTAATTGCGTGATGTTTGCTCACTGAATGCGGCTGTCCGGAAGCGGCATGGAAGCTGCATCCAACACGTGCCACACCGCGTTCCACACGCCAACCGCCTCAGCACCCCAAACACTCAGGGCAACAGTGGACTGCGTCGAAGACGTGGGCGCCGCTGCTTTGAAAGATTCTCGCGCCGCTCGGCGCCTCTTTCCGATTGCCGGACTCCCGGGCTGCGTCTCGGCCTTCGCGCGCTGCGGATCCCCAGCTCGAAGCCCGCTGCCTCGGGGAACCCAACTGCCCTTTGAACGGAAAGCTTTCTGTTTGAGTCGCAATCAGGTAATTAACGATCATGTTTTGTTCTCCCTGTCGAGCCCAGCTGCCCTTGGGCAAGCGGCCAAGAGCCTTGCCAACACAAAGCTTTCTGTTCAAGACACAGTCAGACACAACAGGACCGTCGAAGATCAGCTCATCTTCCCAGTGCTGTCACAGGAGGCGGCCAGGGAGGCGCGCAAGGCGGACGAGCGCCTCGAGGAGGCCAGGATCCAGAAGGAGCTGGCATCCATGTCGCAGCGCTACGCGGCGCAGATGCGGAAGGAGCGCGAGAGGGAGAGCGCCAAGGAGTCGGTGGCGGAGTCCGTGGCCGAGGCCTGGACGCGCGTGCGCCAAGATTCAAAGGCCGCAAGGCACGGCGCCAGGCAGGCGTCGCGCGTGGCCACGGCGGCGACGTCGGCAAGCGAGAAATCGCGCGATGCCATGAAGGATGGGAGAATTGAGGAGGATGTGGGGATCGAGGCGGGGGAGGTTGGAGGAGGTTCAGCGGAGCGCGGGGCGGGGGCGGAAGCAACGGAGGGGGGGGAGAACGACGAGGATGCGAGCCGGGTGGCCCTGAGGGAGTTCGAGAGGTGGGGGAACGGGGCCCGCGGTGGTGGGCGGTTACGGGTGGGTAAGGCGCCTGCCCGTCTGCCTGCCGAAATATGGCAAGCGGTGGCGAGCGTTTTTTTTTTGTTGCTTTTGACAAGATCCAGTCTAAAGACAACCATGTATTCATCCCTAAAGAGGCAAGCATGTGGTGTGTGTTTATCGCATTGATCAGAATTCAAGCCTCCGCTCTTGATGGAAAGCGGTCCTGAGCTCTTGTCTCTTGTAACAGACTTTGCCTGGGGGCAGAGGCAACACTCCTCTGTTGGGTACGATCTGTATGTCAGACTGCAAGAGTATCAAGATCTCCAGTGCTTTGTCTCCATTCCACACAGCCTGTGGTTTAAATTACAGGTGCATGAACATCACAAAAGCTTTGTCTCCATTCCTTAAACCAGTAGAAACCATCATTTTCTAGATGCCAACTGCAAAGGCCAATTGATGCCACTGCAGTTGCTTTTGATGGAATCAATGTGAAAGGCCAAGTTGGCGTTCGAATGCCATCGCAAATGGCATCATCTCCATAATGGTGCTTCCTGCCAGTGCTCCCAGTTAATGTCCAACTGTATCAGCCGGGACATCAAGCAGCATCCCGTTAATGGACACATGCCTGTGGGGCTGCAGGCTCCGGCAGGAGCTGTCGCAGTACCATCTGGCGACCGAGCGCAAGGTGGAAGACAAAATGAGCGAACTTGGGCACCAGCACATGGAGGCCGTCAGCGCCCTCAAGAGCATCGCTGAGGCCCTCGAGGCCAAGTCGCAGAACGGCGGTGATGGGGTCGCTATCCTGAGCTCAGGTGTCGGGTGCAGCCCCGACACTTGCACCGCGAATAGGACGGCGGGTGCTGCCGACTGGCACGCCGCCCCCTGGGCTCCACAGGTGCCAGGCAAGCATGGAAGCGTTTCCCAGGTGCCCACAAGATTTGTTCCTGCCAGTGAGGTGCCGGGAGGCCACAGCCAGTGGCTGGGTGGACACGCCGCGTTTGACATCGCAAGCCTGTGTGTTGGGGGCGCTGAATCGGCCCTTCAGGGAAAAACTGTGGGTGAGGGAGGCGGCCATCTTGTGGGGCGGCCAACACCTGCAGCGTGCTCGTCACGACCCGGCAGCCGGTTGCCAGGGGACAGCACCTGGATCCTTCCTCCCCAAGGTGCTTCCCTTGACGCTGGGGAGCCCAAAATGGCAGCGGCAGGCCCCGTTGGGCATGCGGTGCAGATGCCCAACGCCCCGGCCAAGGAGGTGGGCAGGGGAGAGAGGCCGGCGTCACAGCAGTCCAGGATGTCCGACGTGCATGGAATCTTGAAGCGCAACAACTCCAAGCTCAGCATGTTGGAGCGCATCCGGACAGCGTCTGGAAAGCTGGATGCCGACACCTTGGAGGAATTCCTCAGGAAGTATGTTGCAGGAGACAGGAGCGATGTTGGCTCACAAGGCCACCGTGGCGATGATGGAAATTCAGGGCGTGACGAGCGGACGGCACCGCAGGGTGTGAAACTGGGCCATCAAACCAGCGACACCTTCACAGTGGCGAGTTCGCTGGCACAGATCGATGAGAAAAGCGGCAGCGACGCCGGCAGCGAGCCCGGCAGCGAGCCTGCTGCCCATCCCGACCCTCTTTTGGCCACCCCAAGAGAGTCCAGTGTCATTGCCACAGCATCAGTGCTGTCAGCAGCTGGAGGCCAGGCGCCCAGCACGAGCGAACGGTCTGACGCCAAGGCGGGAGTCACCCGCTCCAAGAGGCCCAGTTCAGTGCCGCCGGGGATCTCTGGTGCGAGGCAGACGCCCCTGGTCGACGACGGCGACACCCTTGACATTGAGATGCGCAAACTCACTCGGAGGCACTCGTCGAGGTCGACCGTGTCGTTGGGCATTCGCAGCGACCGCAGCTTAGTCACAGACACTCGCTGGCTTGCTGCACTTTAAGCCGCTGTCTGGCTCAGAGTTTGTTCAGGTTTGAGGATGTTGCCTAATATGTGGAGTACAGTGAGCCACAGTCATTGTACAGGAGTCCTGCCGTGGTGTGAAGCTGATGTGCTGTGAGTCGTGCGTGGATTGTGGTGACTCCTGCGCAGTACGGTGCTGTGCTGCCTGACAGCCTGGTGGAACTTTGGAATGAACACTCAGTGCCTGATCTCCTTGGGTATCGTACGGTAGGCAGACAATTCAGCACCACTTCCAAAACTCACCGTTTGAGTCACTGCGGTAACAAAAAGTGTATGTGCCACCGCACCAGTAATTGAGCCCGTCTACTCGACAACGGGGAACCAGCGTGCAGCGACACAACTCGGAAAGGCATGCAGGGCACCTGCCACAACAGCACAGGAGCACCAGAGTCAAGGAATTGATGAAGGCACTCCAGCGTGTGGGTGACTGGGCGGCGTTTTGTCTCTGAAAGATAATTATGATCGACACAGACCGACAAACGCAACATCCACATCGGCTGCCCGCGCCGCCCATATACCCTTATCAAGCAAAGCCAACAATTGCCCCAGGAACCTTGGGGCCAGTTGCCATGGACATGCTGCAGAAGCCTCTTGAAAGGCATGATGCACAGCACTGCTGAAACAAGGGAGCGTATAAGGCATCCAAGTGCCAAAGTTCCGTTGTTCGCATTGCATGTCCATGGCACACTTTCAGAAGCGAAAGGGGCTGGGTTCGGTAGAGCAAGAGCCAATTTCATGATTTTAGATGTGTCTTGAAGGAAAGGCCGTCGATGCAAATCAACTGGCTCCCTTTTGAACCCATGCAGGAAGCGCGAGTCCACCTTCGCTGGTGCTTCAACGGCGTTGGCACACGGCTGGACACACGCAAGGCCACAGCTACACACGAAACGCCTGGACCATGCACTATCAGAAAACGCCATGTCTGTGACGCTGCCTGCGATGCATTTTTGACACAAAGGGGTGCCATCACAGTGATTGCGATGGCATAAAAGTTAGGTGATGTCATCGATTAGTGTCAAATGGCATCACAGTTGGCATTGTAAAAAGGTCGTTTGTACTGGTGTACGTATTTGTTTGCCCTTCCCACAGCAAAGAGCCTTGTCCATGTGGCAAAGTACCCGCGACCAAACAGTTCGAATCTCCTTGCACCCAACGAACTCTCCTTTTCTCGTGGCAAGGACCATCATCCATCACTAACAGGCCACACGACATTTTAAAAACACCCACTCATCGCCAGAATGCAGCCTCGTCCATAACACATATGCCACAGGCACCCATACATTCAATGGTAATGTAGAAGTGCGTCAACTCCGAAAGTGATAAGAAAGTTGATAAAGTGCTGTAACCAAACACGCCGTCCACAACATTTCTCTCGGTGTCATGTGACATCTCCCACAATAATGAAAACGATGCTCACAAGACTCCCATCGTAAGCGAAATGATTTTGTGAATTCTGATACATATTTTCCTTTTCATTTTAAGGATTTATAGCCCCTCACATGTTAATGATACTTATGAAGCATGTACAAGTCGCACATCATAATGCATAAGTGATTCACCCCGTGAAATGGTGGTTATTATGGGTTGTCGCAAGCCAGTGACAGGACGCTGAACACCCTTTCATGCAAAATGCCTATAAGGGGGTCACGGAAAGTAACAGATTTGTGAAATTGCAAGCAAAAATTCGGATTTGAATGATTCCGCGCTGTTTGCGCACAAAGGGGTGTTTTGGGCAGTCTGCCGGAATTGCACAACCGCGTTGTTGCGCACAAAGGGAATCCCTTTGTATAATGAATGCGCGCATGGCGCGCACATTCTCTAGATGAGGAGCTGGTGGGAAGTGACCCAAGCTCATGGGTTTTCTTTGGTCCAAGCGTGGCGGAACAGTGGCAATGGGCAATGGTTTTCATTATAAGAAGGCAAGGATAAATGCGCGCACCGCACTTGCATTTACAAGACGAGGAGCTGGTGTGAAATCACCCACAGCGCATGGTTTTCCTTTGGCGGAAACGTGGCGGAACGGTGGCAATGGACAATGGTTTTCACTAGCAGAGGGCATGGATAAATGTGCGTGGCGCGCTCGCATTTATTTTCGCACACATGGCCATGTTTAGCACAATTTCTGTGCCCCAGGAACAACCTTCCCGTGAACAATTGTTTTGAACATTTGTAATCAAATCGTGGTCTTGAGCACAATGCGCCATTTTTGCTAGGTGAATAGGCAGGCATCGAAATCGACGTTGCTGGCACGAAGCCAAGGAGCAAATGTCAGCGGGTCTGCTACGATGGAGATCCGAGCAAATTTCCATGCTGTGTTCGATTTGAAAGTCAGCCAACGATAAGATGCGCACCTTTTGTACAAACTCTAATCACTTGTTGGAATTCACTTTCCCCAATCAGAATGTCAAGTGCATCGTGCAATGTTAAACCAAGCTCATCAACGCTTGTTAGTTGCAAGAGCCCCACGACTTCTTCTAAAGCCAAAAACAACCAATGAAACAAGCAAGCCAGCGAAAAGTTTACTTGGCAGGGACAGTAAGCTTTGAAGTTTTGCAAGGATTGAAAAAGCACGTGCTGGAGGGGGTGAAAACCAGTGAAATTGAATTGCCATCGACAAACTAAGTGCGGGCCCCACATCACGTGCAACCACATCCCTTTTTGTACACAAGAGCTTTTGTGCAGAATCTGTGGCAGAATTTCTTCAAACCTCCTGAAACCTCATCTTGCTATGGTGATTCCGAAATTCGAGTTGGTGGCAAATTCTGGCGCGAAAAACTGGTGCAGGCGCGCGTTGTTTGTTGGCAACAACTATCCTTTGCTTTAATCTGCGCGTCTTGATCGTGGGTTGGTGCTGGGAATGACCCTTGGTGACCGCTTGCAGGTGGCGTGCAGGTTGTGGCGTAGGGCCGCCGTGGGCGCACATGGCATGCGGCAGTGCTAGACGGCGTCCCGCATTTTGCGGCCGTGGCTCGTGGTGCATGCCTGCGGCGCGCCCAGAGGTGCTCGAGGGGTCCGGCAGCCTCCAAAAAGCGATCATCCGCCTTTTCGTGGGAGGGTGGGTCGTGCTCTGGCGCCTTGGCGCAGGTGCGGGCACTGCCGCCGTAGACGACGGCCCCAACCGTATCGCGAATGATTTGTAATGCGCTCTAAGAGCATCTTTATCGGTGGGTGCTATTGTCCCGGCGGAGCTATTCGGCTATCCGAATAGCACCGCACGTCAAAAAACCATCATTAACGGTTGGGGAGCAATAGCACCCCAATAGCACCCCAACAGCACCCCCGGAGCTATTCGGCGCCAAGCGGCGCTATTTTGGCCCCGAATAGCTCCGCTCGGGGCCAAATAGCACCCCAGAATAGCACCGGCGCTATTCGCGCGGAACATTGTAGTGCTGCAGTGATGCTATTCGGCGTAGGCATAGCACCCACCATTGCGGATGCGCGCAGGGGAGCAATAGCACCGGCGCTATTCGGCAAACGCCGCCTTAGTAAGGTGGCACGGCAGCCAATGAAAACCGTTCCTGGATAGCTTCGCCGGTGCAATAGCACCGACCGATAAATAGAGGTGCTCTAAGGGAACGTATTTGGGGTGTGGCCACGTCATCCTCACACTATGCGCATGGATCTCGCCCACGTGACCCCGTCTCCCGTCACCCGCCATCCCGGTCCGCGCCCCCGAGTCACGGACTCCTGCGGGGTGACGCAGGGCCCCCATCGCCAAACTCGTGGTCATGTTGCGCCGCGCCGCGGGACCGACCAGGAGGCCGCCCACGGCGCTGTAATGCCCCTGCGAAACCCCAGGACTAATTCACCCGTCATGCGCGCCTGATCCGCCGGATACTCGCGCACTTCGCCCCCGCCTCACACCATGCCCGGCCCAAATGTCCTGGTACTGTGGCGGCAGGGGCCGGTAGGGGAGCCAGCGGCTGGCACCGCCAGAAGAGGCACCACCTGTTTCTCCCCCCCACCCACCCACGATCCCGCCCTTCGGGTCCTCGACCCAAAATTCATCGCGTCTGCCGCCCCACGCACCCGCAAATAAACGACAGGCAGACATCGGTGCTGCCCTCGGTCAGGGGCCCGCTCCTGCTGGAGCGCGCACCGCCGCGTGGGACGTCCCACGGGCGTCCCGCCCATGGCGCCCCGGGCGCATTGGCCCCGGTCGCCGGCTGGATGCGTCCTGCCAGCCCTCATGGCTCTGCTTTGCGCCGTCGCGGGGATTGGTGCCTCAGGGGATGAAGGAATTGCGCCCTCCGGCGTGCGGCCGGCGACCGGCAGGTTGCTCGCGTGGCAGGGGCGCGGGGAGGCGACAGGTAATGCGCAGGGGCTGTGCGGCGATCGGGGAGGTGTCGGGGAGTGTGTGGATCTCATTGGATTGCCCAGTGTGGGGCCGGGGACGAGGGGGAGAGCGTGTCCAAGGGCGTGCAGGGAAGCAAGTCGGAGGGGGATCTTGTTTCGGCGGCTTGGGGGATTGGTCATTGTTTTCGGTGGCGAGTATTTGGCCAAGGGCCGCCGATTGGGTTGGACAGTCGGCTGCACGGCGGGCGCGGCTGCAATTGGGTGGGCGGCCCGTGGAGCGTGGTCCCGGTGTGCTTGTGCGGGTGGCGACGGAATGCGGGATTCCCGGGTACTGCCATCGGCCGTCGATGGGGGCACCTCGGGGCGAGTTTTCCTGGATTGGCGGTCGCGGGGCCCTGGCCGGGCCGGAGTGGTCGCCGCGGGGCCGGTTGCCGGACGCGCGGGGCGCGTAGGGGGGCATAGGTGGAGAGTGGGCGATGGATGCGATGCCGACTCAGATGGACAGTCATGGTTGAGATGCGGTGCCGGCTTCGGCTGGGCGCGTGTTGGAAAGGGCAGTCCCGCTCGCTCGCGACGATTATATGGCCGGCGGCCATCTGCCCAGGGCGCAGGAGTGCGCGCATCGACGCAACCCCGCCGTGCGCGGCGCGCTGCCTGCCATCAGGCTGCGGATTGGGCCCATGT